GAGCCGGAAAATGGAAGAAAGAGGAAGCCGCTGTCCCTGTCACATGTGCAGCAAACTGTGGCATTAATAACGCCGACGTCCATTAAAACAACTCAGGAAAATGCCTCGAAGGACGACTGAACTGGACTGCAAAACAAATTAATGCAGAAAAATTAAAATTAAAATTATTATTTCACCCCCTGCCCCCCAGTAAGTATTTTCTCTATAAATTGCTGCTTAATCTGTTTCTGTTTTGCGGGTGAGAGGGAAATGCCCAAAGGACATCATGCTGGGCAATGAGTTGGAGCTTTTACAATATTGACAGTCGTAGTTGCAGTTCCTTATCGAGGACATCCGTCCTTGCTTAATTGTTAAATGCGAAAGCGAAATTAATTTCCGTTGAATCGGACCTTTGTTGCCATTTTAATTCGCTGTTGTCTGAAATACAAATGGCAAATGGACTCACGTGAGCTTGATAAATTAAATCCAGAGATGATTAACCTTTTGAAACGAGAATTTTTCTTTTCAGCTCTTATCCAGTTAATCCCTTTTCAGGTTTAGTTAAATGTACTGTATTTTAAAGTAATGTATTTTTAAATAATAATTTTTCCTGCAAGTGTATAACATTACCAATTAACCTTTAAAATCGTTTTGATTTTATAATCCCCTTGTGAAAAAAACATGTATCTGGTTTGAACAGTGCATAAAATGCAACATAATTTTTGCTGCAAAAAGCAGTAAAAACCCAATCCATAATTATGAACAATTTCGCACATATGGCAATGGCATTTTCCGTACATTTGTCGCCGAAGGCGCAACATAATTATAAAATGCATTGAACATTTATTGCCGGTCATAAATCAAAAAGTTATCGAAATGAAATCCCCACCCTTGGCCAGCTGAACATCTGATAATCACCAAGGGAATGCAGCAGCCGTAGTAGCGACACTTTTTACAACTTATTGGACTAATCAGGGGCGTTTCGAGGGGAAACGGGGGTGTGTGTGTGTGTGGGTAGGTCCATAAAGTAGCCACAGGACACGCGACTCGGGAAAGGACATCCCCTGAATTATCCTTCACCGCGGAAGAGCCACCCACCCTCTCTGCAAAGGGTAAACGATATTTGGGTGAACAACTAGCGAAGTAGAGCCACCCTTTTTCGAGGGTGCAGCCAAAGCCAAAGCGGCAGCATCCTGTCGCTGCGGCAAGGACACCAAGGACTATGCCTGACAGTTGACAGCTTAGCGCCTCGCGACAAGTCCTGTGGAGAGAACTTGGTGAAAATTCCAGGAAAACTCGCCGGGTGCGCGGGTGTGTAGTACGGATAGCAAAATTGCATGCCTCACTGCTGTTTGCAATTTGCAATTGAGACTTTCGCTCGAGCAGGGGGCAAAGTCACGTCACAAAATTGTCTAAAATTTTCACTGAAACGGCCAGTAGCCTAAAACAGACCTAGGCCAAAAATCCGTTGACCAATTCCCCAGTTTGTGAAGGAGGAAGGGGGACAGTAATTTATGGTTATGGAAGCGCCAGCCGCCGTTTGCATAAATTCCGAAAATGTTTTTGTTTGCTTTGACTTTGATGGAAAGTGGCATTCGAGTTAAGTCGGCGTTGCGATTCAGTGGCATTCGAACAAAAATGGGGTGGAATATGTGAAGTGGAAAAGTGTGGTTTAAGTTTTGCGAGCCAAACTGGGCAGACAATTACAACACTTGACTCCTGATGCTGCAGCTGTTTGTATCTTGATTGTAACTTCTGGTTTTTGCTGGCGATAAAAATTTCGAAACAAATGAGTTGCTCCAGGGAGGTTTTTGTGTAATTGTGAAAGGAATTCTTTGGTTTAATGGAGCTTGGTTATTAAGATAAAGTTGCATGAAAAACGGGCAGTTTCATTATTTTTTCCAGACATACCACTTGATAAAAAAAATAATAACAAAAGATTAAAGAAATAATAGTATGCTAGATGTGCAACTCAACACATTAATTATACATATTTTCTATTCTTTTTTTTTTTTTTGCGAACGACTGTCCAGTGTGATTTGATATTATTATGTTTTTAATTACAACCCAAGGAATTGTTGTAGCTTAGCAATCATTCTGTTTAACCAACATATGTACATGAAATTCGCACCACCTTCTCGAATGACCTATTTTTCCTCAATTTCTTTTTCTCCTAACTACGGAAACTAATTTTCCCTTCTCAACTACATCCATTGCAGGTATGACAGCATTTCACCTTTGAGCCCGCCAGCTGATCCTGTTCTTGGCCCCGCCCGCGTATATCAATTTACATCCCATTTGGTGCAGGACTCCCTGTACTTCCCCTTCAACCCTCGGCTTTTGGAGAAGGCCTTCATTTGCAGCTCACCCGGCCATCTATCCGACCAACAAACCCGACAAACCCACGAACCAACCACCATGGGCCGCAAGGATATGAAAAGCAATGCACTTGACACTTTGCAGGCCACTCCAGTGGGCCAAAAAGTGTGCTTCACTTGATGTCCTGTCGTCGTTTCATTAGATGGTCCAGACAGCAAAAAATCGCCCCAAGAGCTTCCCATCACCGAGGGTTGTGATGGTTTCTTGCCTTTTTTTTTTTGGTAGCACGCCCGCCGCCTCAAAGCGAAAATGTACGAGTACTACAGCGCGCATTTTCAATTTGCAAATGATAGAAAATGCCTGTGGCAAGGAAAATTCGTAAGAGGCAAGGGAAAGAGCTTATGTGGCCCGCGTATAAGTGCACCCACTCCGAAAACTCAACACTCCATGGCAACAATTTTAATTCAATTCCATTAAAAGTCGCTAAGATTGAAGCGCAGCTGGTGTGTGTGTGTGTGTGGTTGTCGTCGTTGTTTCCTTTTGGCTTTTCCTTTCCCGCTTTTCTTTTCCAACCTGTCCCTCACTTGGGCACACAATCAAACTAATGTTCGGCGGTGGAAAAACTAATGAAGCGCGCAGTGAAAACGCGACGATTGATTGCTCCCCGGGGGCAACAAGAAATGGGGAAACAAAAGCCAGAGAAAATGGGAAAGCCAGATGCAATCCAGCAGAACCAAAAGAGGGCTTCCTGTTGGCAAAAAGCTGCCTGCCTGATTCTGGGAAATCATTCGCAATGCATTCGAGGCAGTCGAAAACTGCACTTCCACGGCCCTGTGTGTGTTTTTTGATAATTTATACCCAACGATTCGGCAACTGGGGGTTGACAATTGCTCATGGACTTTGCGTGGGTGGTGTGCTATCGTCAATGGGGTGGTGAGGGTGAATGTAACACCTCCCCTGGGGTGTTTCAAGATGCATAATAAGACTTGTTAAGTTGCTCGCTCGTTAAGATAAGTGAGCCGGCAAATGGCGACAAGTGCGACATCGGAAACAGCCCGCAATGATTACCGGCTTAAATTATACATATATATATCGTAGATAAGCCGATGCGACCTGCTGTGTGGGGTGCTTCCAGTGGTTAATGCCGCGATTCGCATTACGGTAAGAGGATTATAGAGAAAATGGATGAAAGTTAGTTAAATGCCCTGGGAATATTGCTGAGGGCACAAGAGCCCCAAAAAATAAGCCATAAGGTAACCCGAATGGCTATAGCATTATGTATCCACTTTTTTGGCTGCATCTTGGCATAAATACGCAGATTTACATAAAATAATGTGCAAGTGAATTGAAAATAAAGAAGATTTATATTCCTATTCTTGTCTTAAAAGCTTTCAACAGAAATTTTCTAAATGGAAACTCTCCCAAGCATCCCTTCCCAGAACTTCAGCCGTTTTCTTTCGATGTTCAAGTGGCATAGGGGCAATTTTGGTCCGATTTGAAACGTTTGTAATTGCATTCTTAAACGAATTGCATTCAAAATTTTCAGTTGCCATGTGATTGAATTTTTGACCTTTGTTTAGGTTAGATTTTTCCAAATCTCCGATGATACAGATAAGCGACCCCAAGAGGGGCCATAGCTTCGACAAGTTTTCGGTCTCTCGAATTCTTATTTAAATATATATTTCATTGGCCCAGTAACATAAGTCGCCGGGCCTTAGTAAAAATTATTTTAGACTCATTAGAGTGTCCCTCTCCACGGAAATCTTTAGTAAAAGGCGAAAGATTTATTCGACAATTGAAGAGAAACCAGAGTGATTTCATCCATCGAGCTCTATGCCTATTGCTTTATTATAAGCCAGAACTGTTTGGGAATTATAGAAGCGGCTGATGAAAATAAGTTGAAAGGTGGTAGCTATTACAGTTAGCTACCTGAATAGGGTACCTCAAAGATCCGAAGGGAAGTCTTGGGTTTAAATTCGACATCCATGTTGCGTAGCTGGAGATAAGAATACAATAACAAGATTGGTCTTGGTTATCTTATTGTGAAATTGTATTTAGCAACGCTGTTTTCTTTATAAATCGCGTTTCCGCTAACAATTTTGTCATAAACATTTTAAAAACATTCACGATGAGGACTTTTTCTCTGATTTGCTTTGGCTTTCTTATCAACAACTCAAGCCATTGACTGCCGGTTTAACGTGGGCTGTTTTCCACAGGGGGAATTTGCGTAAATTCCGATGGCATTCCTTGTTAACATAGGATGGTCAACCAAGACTTTACCTAGCGATTGAAACTGTAAATAATAAACTTCAGAAATCATCCCTTAAGGTATACTTCCCGGACTCTCGTGTTATTTTTAAATACACCAATTCCCAACTGGTTCTAGCTCGGCCTTTATGAAGGCCTCTTTCTTTGGTTTGAGGGGTTATCGCTTCTCGGCCCTATGGCTAAGATCAAAGTGTAGTATCTGTTCTTATCAGCTTAACATCTGATAGTTCCTCCATTGGAGGACAACAAATGTTAAACTGATTTTTGGAACCAGACGGAGTGCTAGGGGCTTGCTCCACCTCTGTCGCGGGTTGGCCCGGTATTGCAGTACCGCCGGGACTTCGGCCCAACTGATTGATAAATTTCATTATGTGCTTTGTGCATTTGAATCTCCTTGATAGATGGAAAACAAATTCAAATTTAAGCAAACTCACCTCCATGTATCCTTGGACACTGTCGCACTGCTGGAGCACCAGGATGGCCGGATTGGCCCTCAGTTCGTCGGGCGAGCAAGGCGATAGAAATCCACTGTCCGCATCGCTGTGAGTTGAAAGAGGTCGTGGCTTCCGTATTTTGTACTGGACATGACGACTGGGCACTGGGCCAGGATTGAACAACACATAGTTGGACTCCGTGGGAACTGTGTGCGATCTTTGATCCTTTCGCTGCTGCTGCAAAAGTTGTTGCAGGTGCAACATGTGATCCGTACTGACCAACTCGGATATGGCCCTCTGCTGTTCAGAGGCATCTTTATTGCTGGACTTTTTGCCACTTCGAAAAGGTGAAAGGTTCAGAAAGGTCAGCTTTTTCTTCATCGATTGCTGGGCGGGATTTGGCAGAGAACAGCTGCCTGCTGAACTGGCAGAATTCGTGGAGGTGGAGGACTCAACAAGGGCAGTTGAAGTGGTTTCCGTATCCTTGGACTCCTGACTATTCGACATACTAGCTGTGTTTTCCAGTTCATTGAACAGCTTTTCCAAATTCTGCTGCTCCAGTTTGGCATTCACCAGCTGTTCGTTGGTATAAGGATTTGGTATCCCAATGTCCAGAGAAAAGTCACCCGGTTCAATGATAAAATAGTTGTGGTGATCAAAGCTGGAAAGGATCTCTGAAGTTTTGGGTGTGGGTTCTGCTTCAGATTCGGCTTCTGGCATGCCAGAAGTTTCTATGATAATCGTTTCCTCTAGCTCCAGCTCCTCATTGTCGTAAATGACCTCCGGCACCATTTCATCTTCGTCCTCGCAAACTAAATGCTGCCTAGAACTGAAGAGGGGATCCCGCAAGCCATGCGAATTGGAACTAGGATATCTCATGGCTTTTTCGTTGATGAAGTCCACCGGATCGAACAGGCAGTAGTTCTCCATATGCGAGGTGGCAGCTTTGCGTTGTCTCACTGGCAGATTCTTCAGCTTCTCGGAGTAATCGGCCACGTCCTCATTATTGTTCGCTGATTCCGGAGCCGGCGGTGGTGGCGATATTTCCTGGCTAATTGGACGCTCCTCCTGCTGTTGCAAGGACTTCTGCGAGCCGCGATGCAGGGTGGCAAAAGAGGCCGCGGGCAATGCAGTTTTTCAGCTCACTCACTCGTCCTTTGTAGGGACTTGATTGGGCACTGCTGCTCAGTATGGAGGCCTCATCGATGCCCAGCTGCTTGCTCAGCTCCTTGCGCTCCTTTTTGCTCAGAACGACCTTGCCCCGGCTCGGAGTATTTGGGGCAGAGTGCAGCAGACGCGAGGGCATTTGGGAAAGGGGCGGTGGTGTCGGCGGCGGTGGTTCTCTATAAGGTGGCGGACCCACCAGACAAGTGGCATAGCTAACCGGCAGATCCGGATATGTGGCATTCTGACCCGATGTCGTGGGCTCCGTGGGCAGGAACTCCAGTTCCATATAGTTGGCATGCGGCACTGACTTCTGTTGACTCTGCTGATGGTTGTCAGTTCTTTGGCCCTTGGGCTTGGCGCCCAGTTGGTTCTCCTCGTTGGCATTGCGATCGGGTTTGGTCGACGAACCCGGTCGCAGTTTACCCGCCTGGCTGGACATTTCTACGATTTCATTGCCGCTCTTTTGGGTTCAGCACTTTTCACTCACTCACTCACAAATTTTGTATACATTTTTTTTTTATCCACGCTTGGGCAAAATTAATGGTTTCATAAATCTTCATCTTTATGGTGGGCAAAAAGGCGTTAATGGGTTTTCTAGTCTCACGCAAAAAAAAAGGGACTCTTTCTCTCTTTCTGTTTACATTTGCGCTTGTAATTGGATTTTTGAGCTGATGCATGTCAAAGTTAAATTAAAACTGACCCAGCGAGTTGGGTGAAAAAAGAGTTGTATTTTTATTTTGGATGGATGTTGGATGGTTGTTTTTGCGGGCAAAGTCATGGTCATGGTTACGTCGTGGTTTTGTCTGCTTTTGAAGTGTTTCAGTGCGCCCCAAAACAATGCCAAAGTCGAGGTTTTTATAATTTGTCTACAAAAGCAATTAACAGGAATGCCACCGCTTCAAGGGTTATGAAAAAAGGTGAACAATACATATTGAAGTACTGTATGTTCCGTTTTATCTTAAATGATGGCAATAAAGGTCGATATCCAAATGAAATGTTCCTAAGGGTACAATATCTCCAAATGTCTTTAAACATTTTTAGAAAAACATAGATATTTTCCTCTTTAATTCCATTGCACACATGTATTTCTTTATTCAGTCACCGACAAAAGCAAAAGTATTTTTCCCCTTTTTTGTGGAAATACTCAATAAAAATGATTGTACGTAGAAGGTGGAATCGAAATTCAATACGAAAATGCATATCAAGTGCTCACTAAAGTTTCACATTTGATTAAGTTTCGTTTTACCTTCAATTTCCCCCCAACAATTGCAGACATTCCAGAGATATCAATAACAAATTGCCAGCAAATGGTGCCATGAATTTATCAAGTGTAAAGCGAAATGAACAAAAGAATTGTGCAAAACTCAAGTTCAGGTATCTATTTTATTAAAAATGCTTAAATAAGTTTAGTGGGTAAATAAGTGTTCGAAATAAATAAAGCAAACATTTAGCTGAACAAAAATGCGATTATCTCTGCATTGTTCCCACTAAACAAACCGAAAATAAACTTTTCGCACTAGAGTTTTAATTTCTTTATTTTAGGCCACTCACAGAACTATGACGAGGCAGCAAAACCGGAAAAGAACAATTTTCCTAGGCCACTGTGGGGAAAACAACTGAGAGGGAAAACCGAAATGGAAAAAGTTTTATTGGCAACAAATTGAAAACCGCCTGGCCATTTGAGTCAGTGAACCAACAAGTTGCATAATTGTTGGCGCATGATAAAATTAAACGCCCTGAAATGAGCTGATGTTCCAATGGCTCCCGTGGCTCCTTCTGCCACCTTTTCCGTTTCCGTCAGGCTGCAGGTGGCATAAAATGAAAGAAGTTACTCCACTTAAGTGGAGTTTCCCTGCCGTTTTCTCTGTGTTTCTGTGTGGGTTTCTGTGACTGGCTGTCTGTGTGTCTGTTAGCTTCGCCCCATAAAGTATACACAAAGTAATTTGCAATTAAAATGTTAATTTTTAATTGAATTGCAGATGGCAGTAGGCAATGGCACTAGTCTCGAATACTGAATCAAGTTAATTAGTGCCAGCGAAGGTGGCGCAAAAAGGGATTGCAGCAGTATCACTTCAAGGTTGATTAATCCAGATTGGAGTTAAATATGCAAATGAACAAACTTATTAAATGAATTAAACCTATAAATATTTTGAAAGCTAAACTTTAAGTGGGTCAACACATTACTTATTCGCTTTAGTCGTTTGTTAATTTTCATAACTAAAATATTAGTTAATAAACTTACTAACAGCTTAGGCAAACCATAAATATTTAATATTTGTGAAATAATACCTATTTTTTTTATTTAAAGAAAAAGAGCTTCCCTAATATTCCCTTTTATCTCATCCCTTTGGCTTTAAGTCGATCTGTAAGCCACGTGGCTTGTGCACTCCAGCATCACCTAATCTCTGACACTTTCGGTTTCTATGACTCCTCACATAAAAAAAAGGAGGAAAAGCAGCGAACGAAAGAAGGAAGACAGGAGACAGGACTTAAAGTTAAACACTTTTGCTCTGAGGTTGAAGTTACTCGCACTTCATCTGCTTTTGCTCCAGCCTCCAGCTGGCAGCAGTCAAAGTTGACAAAATACTTGTCAAGATTTCTGCATTGAGTTGTGCCGCAACCTCCCAGTCCTCGGATTTCAACTAGTAATTGCAGCACTGCCGTGGTCTCTTCCAGTTCTGCTCCCAAAAAAGGAGAGGGAAGGGATCCCCATTTCCAACCACCGGGACTCCCGACGTTTTGCTGGAGGCCATCAAGCCGCAAACTTTACGAGTTGATAGCTGAAATAAAGTGGAGCATGCATTGCGGCGCTTTTAGCCCAGCCACCCACTTCATGACATCATTTTATTTGCACTCAATCTCGGCTCCCTCAGTGGAGCTTTCTGCGCCCAACGCGCTGTGCAAACTTCGCTGCCAAGTTGGTTAGAAATGCTTTTGATTTGCTGCTAAGTTGACCAACTCCCCCTCGACTCCTCAACCCCTCCACCCGTCAGCTTCAAACCACTTCTCCCTTTTTTTCCTGACTCGCTTTTCATACGAAACCCACTTAGAAAAGTGCACGCTTTTCTTTCTTTCCTCCAGTTGCTCTTATTTTCACCGAAAGCCCAAGCAAATCTAAAGCGTTGTTTAAACAAAAACGAAAAGTATAAGTATGGCAATGCAGAAGTAATCACTGAGATTTTTAAGTGATAATTAAAGATCTGTTTTAAGTAATAACTATTATTTAAAAGTGCAATTTAATCAACGCTATAAATAAAAATATTCTTTTATAAAACATCTTGGTGAATAATTCATATTAAATAATAAAGCAAATATAAAACATTCTAACATTTTTAGTAAGCTATCCTTTAAATTTTTATACATTTTATATTAATTTTGTTAATAATTGAATATCAATAATCAAATCAATCTCCATTTACCCCAATCTCTTTCATAGAGTATAGCAAAGTAGTAAAGCCTGTGCCAAAAAACCAAAGTAAGAAAACGAGAAGAACAATGCATATGACAGTTTGAAACACTTCTAAAGACTTTTGAGTTATGCCGCAAGTTGGGGGCGGTAGGCGTGGCACCAACCGCTCTAGCTGGAGGGCAAAAAACAATAATAAAAACGGAAAAGAACTAAAGCAGAATCTATGTGCAATTCAATTAAAGCGCAATTTGCAAGCAGTCATCGTATTTTCGTTACTTAACGAGCCAACTGCGCGGAGGTTGAAGGATAATGAGGGGCATTGGGGGGATGGGGGAGATGGGAAATTTAATAAGACCCATCGAGTGGGGAAAACGGAAATCGCTTGAGGAAATTGTGTGTTTCAAGCAAAAGCATACATAATAAACTCATATAAAAGATTGTTGCATACTTCGGGGAGCAACCAGGAGCGGAATGGCGGGTCGGCGGCATAAATACCCATATTTGCAATTCGGAAAAGTGGAAGCGGATGGAGAAAGGCGGCAGGGGGGAGTCTGGAGACAGGCGTATATCCTCGGGCGGACAACGGCGAACAGGAGGAAAATTGCGAAGGAAAACCAGCGGGGACCACGTCGAATGTTATTAAAAAAACGAAAGCAAAGCAACGCTAAAACAGCAGCCCCTCTCATTTCCCCTCTCCGATCCACAAACGAAGTCATAAAATTTATTAAATGCCTAAAAGTATGACAGCAATAGACAATTTATGGTGGGGGAAAGGCGAAAGGAAAACGAAAAAAAAACTGGCGGAGGAAATGAAAACAAGATTTTTCTCTGCTTTCTTATGCCCTCCAAAAAAAATTCTGTAAACATTAGCAGAATTTTAATGGCCCTGTGTTAATTCAAGCTTGAAGTATAAATATTTATCAGGAGCATATTAATAAGCGTCAGCTGCTATCGAAATTAGCTGGAAAATGTATAAATATTTATGGAAGGTCCTCCAAAGGAAAAGGCAAATGAATACTTTCGGAATTTGTAAAACTCTTTTTCAAAAAATTATAAAGTTCTGAAATTCTTTTAAAAATATGATGAATACTTTAATAATTAGAACCCAAAAATCAATCACTTCGAGAAGAGTTTTACAAAGTTTCATATTTATTTTTATTATTATGAGAAATTTGTATCTTTGCACCAAAAATATCAAAGCTTATTCCCCACCGAAAGTACCCTTCTTTTGTTGGGTATTTACGATGACTTGTTTCCCCATTAGCGAAATAGCCAGCACTTGTCCCCCATGATAGCAATCGAAAAACCTTTGAATATTTATAAGCTCGACCGCATACAATTTCCACTAATTTAAAGTTACATCTACGCCCCGCCTCGACAATTTTCCGAGCCATTGTCGACGTGGACGGCAAAAGCATATTTCAACTTCATAAATTGAGCAAATAAACAGGCGGACCGGAGCGGACCGGACCCAGAAGATCCTGAAGCGAAGTGTCCCTGCAGACGGATGTGCAACCATATGGTCACGCCTCAAGCTCATAAATTAGCACCATACGACGGACGCACCGAGGACTATTCAATTTGAGGACGGCAAGAGGGACATTTGTAAGGATTTGCCAGCCAGGTGCACGAAAGCCATTAACATAAATGGCACCGAAAGCTGCTAACAAGGATAACAAGCAAGTCGCATTTAGAACTCGCCGCTCCTGGCTTTTTAATTACGTAAGCGGAGAAGACATTTCCAACTTTTTACGTGTCTTCACTAATCCGCTAAGGACGAAAAATTGCGTACAATCAATTCTCGGGATTTCACAGTGCGAGGAAAACAATTTTCCCTAGCAGCTTGTTTCGCATGGCGCAATTTTCCACTACATCGGATTAAAATGTGATATGTTTGGGATTGTTTACACACAGTTCGGGGGGCTTTTTTTGGTGGGGGTGGAGGGAAAGGGGGGATCCAAGGGGAGCAGACAGACGAGACATGTGTTTGTTTACGAACTTTTGGCAGCTTTGTTTTTCGGGGGGCGTGGCCCGTTTCACTGGAGTGGGTCTTAATTTCCGCTCCGTAAGCATTTCTTTTTCACACACAGCATCTTCTTTTTCCGTCCTTTTGCTTGTACTCTGTTCAGCTTCCTTTCTTTTTTTGTTTTTTTGTTTCTTTGTATCCATGATTTTTGTTTATTTTGGATTTGTTTGCCCTTTTCCCTTTACATGCTTGCTTGAGTACTTCCGGTTGCGCCGGAAGTGAGAGGAGCACATATCAGACACAGTGGGACACAACGCACTTGGGGGGATTTGAGTGACTGGACTGGGGGGCTTTAATTGCTACCAGTGGAAAATTGAATTTAACTGACATGTCCATGTTCGTTTGTCCATATGTGTGAGAAGTATGTTCCACAGAGCTAAAGCAATTTAAACTGGTCAAGAAGAAACTTCATTACGAGCAGAAACATAGAAAAAGAACACCTACAAAAAACTTTTAATAAAAAAAATGTTTTCAAAAAACGAAGGTCTTGGGTAATTAGAAGATTAAAACTAGGTTTTACTGCTACAGCAATGAAATTATTCTTTGTAGTGATTACAAAGGTTAGTAATTAAAAAAGGTTAAAAATTAAATTAAATCTTAGCGGAAAAAAAACTTACTGCTAAGCCAGCTTTATAAAATCTTTAGACTAATTCCTTAGGCATATGCCTCTGAATGCATTGTGTATAAATAACAAACTTCTCTAAGTTTTAGCAAACTCCTTAAGATATTGTGAAAGCATATTGGTTGCATAAACTTTAACCAGATTTTGTGCTGCTCAACACGTCCACGGAAGTTTTGGCTTCCGAAAATTAGACAAACACGTTGTATTCTTGTGCTCACTTCTACTTTCGGCAACATTTGATGCATAATAAGTAAGGCAAACACACATAATGAAAAGAAATGCCGATGGATGTGGGAAGCTTCAAGGATGTTCTTAAATTTAAATTTGTTTTGGATAGGAATAATTGAAATAAAAATAAGCTTTAATTATTTTTTAAAACTTTCAGATAAAGCTCAAATGTGTGTTTAAATAGATGAACATTTGGCTGAATAATTCATGCGAAAACCCTAGGGCCTAAAAGCTCACAAGCTCAATCTAATTAATGCAGTGAACTAATCTTCATTGAATTTTAAACAAGTTTGCATAACTAAACACGCACAATTTATGCCATAATACATTGGCTTAACAAAAAATCACCAATCAAATGTATATTTTTTTCTGAATTTCTTTATAAATTAAATTTAAAATAATAAAATCGCTGTGTTTATATTGAAGCGTCTAGTGTTTATATCAAGTTTAACTAAAACTGGCAATAAACATTTCCCCAATCCTTTCGAAATCCATTCCACAGTAAGCCCTCTCCAATGTCGTACAAATTAATATACCCTATATCCTTTGACTCGGCAGAACCGCCCACACACGCACTCCAAGATCCTCATTATGGCACGTCATCCAATCTAATTTAAGGCACGATGATGGCCTGTTTGTTTCTTGATACATTTTCAGCGAACGAGAGATTTGGTCGGACTGATTTTTATTACGCCCACAAGCGCAATAATCGGGAGAGGGCACGCACCAAATGCCAAAGGAGACTTCCTTAAAACGAAACATTCGCATTCCGGGGTCCTAAGCCAAAAAGACGACATTACGTTTTATTATCTATTATATCGTGGCGCCTAAAATGCCACTACATTAGCTAAAAAATCCATACCCACACATGTGACAGAAAGAGAGAAAGAGAGTGAGAAAGAGAGAGAGAGAAGGATATGTTTTCGCCGGGCATAAAATAAAGTAAACATTAAAACAGGAAACGGAAGTCACGGCGGTGCCAAAACGGCAAACCGACATTCATAGACAATGTCCTGTGGCGGTGGTTATGATTATTTCGACTCGCTTATCCTGGCGAATGTGTTCTGGCATTTATGATTTTTTCCGCGTCCCTTTTTATTTCACATGTTTGCCGGGCGGGAAAAGGGTTAACGGGCTGGTGTGTCGGGGGTTAATTTACTATGCACAAAGTGTTGCCTATGTCGCGAACTTCTTGCCACGTTTGCATAACAAATCACTTGACGATTGCACATATATTTGTTAATTCTTCACTTTTTTTCCGCTGGTCTTTGGCGCTCGAAAAAAACGGAAGACATTTCTTTATGATAATCCACAGTTGGTAAAGAATGCCGAGTTCCTTTCGGCCGGGACCCAAACTCACGAAATGACGTAAAAAATAACGCAAGAGGCGGCGAACTGAAATCCTTGTGAACACGTGCGTCGCGCGTTGTGAAAACGAAGCGCGCGCCACCACAGACAAATAAGCACTGGCAGGAAGGACCTCAAAGGACTCGAAAAGCCAAAAACACCGAGCAACAGGGAAATTTCCCAAGGACATTTCGCCGCTCACTGGAATCGTAGCCGGGTTTCCCCTTCGCAGACTGCAATTGACCTTAGCCTTCGAGGATATCCGCCCTCTAGCCGGCTTCCTTTTGATGCAACACCATTTCCAGGATGAGGGTTGATGGACTCTCTCTCTCTCTCTCTTGTTTGGGGAAATTTTCTCCCCTTCAGCCTTGTGCTAGGTCCTTGCTCCAACTGCCGTTGAATGCCACAGGTCTAACAGGTTGATCCGTGACGTCACGGCTAAGCAGGGGAATTGTCACCAGGGATATTTCTTAGGGGTTCCAGGATATTACTCAATTGGACAAGGAAGACTTAAGTGTGTTAAGCACGATAATGATTCTTGGAATATTCATGATTCAACATTGTAAAATATAATATTTATTCAGTCAAAGAGTTAATTTAGTTAATTGTGCACTTACGTTTATAAAATAATAAAAGAAAATTGAAAAAAAAAATATAAAAAAATGTTTAACAACCTCTTTGAATTCGAATACAAACAGCAGACATAATGTTAATTTTAAATTTAAGCTATCTATCTTTCAACGTTTTCATAAATTTGTTGGTTCTGTAATGAAATTCCCCCCTTGTGGCTCGTAGTCCTGCCCGATTCCAATCGGCAATTTACAAACCTTATTCATTTTTTACCGCTAACTTGATTAGAACCATTCACAAGCAAAAGCCCTCCATAAAACCGAAGAAGGCCTGTCTCAAATGATGTTTGTTTTTCCACCCCTCTCAGTCTGAAAGTCCCCCATCGTTTCGCCATGACTGGTTCATCATGTGTCTAGGTCTATGCATTGATAACTCCCCGTCGCGACCATAAAACAATAGAGCCCCAATTTCCATAGAACGGGCATGCACATTCATACAAACCGAATAAAATAGAAACAACATAGAAAATGGATGAAACCGTCTAGGGAATTTTCGGGGCAATAACTATAAAATGTCCGCCGAGTCGCGTCGCGTGTATGCAGTCAACCAGGACGCAGGACAACACAAACAAAAAAGGTCCTTTGCTGTCGCAGTCAATGGGTAAAGGATTAAAAAACAAGGCAACGGCGACAACAAAATATTATCTCAATAGAAAAATCTCAGGCACATGGACAAAACAAAAGCCAAGCCAGAAAAAACAAGGAGTTGAAGAATTAAGGACAGACTTTGATAAAAACAAAGTGAAAATTTATGCAAAACGTAGATAGAAGGCCTCGAAACGAAGTGAATAGCCGGAAACGATGAAAGAAAATTGAAAATGGGAATAGATAAAAGAAGGTAAAGGCCAAACTCTGAGAGTTGCAACACTTTTTAAATTGTTCTTTTAAACTAAGCAAAAAATCTCAATTGATGAGTTTCTCTTAAAGAGAAAGAGTTGACCATTTAATTTAAGTTGTAGTTATCTATAACTTAAATGTTACTATGGTTTTATCTTTTTATACACTTACTAGTAAACCCGGCGAACTCCGTTCCACCACCAGATGGCGATAGTTTTATGTAAAATTTCGTTGGTGTTTAAAAGATAAAAAAATTTTTTTTTTATATATGAAAAGGAAAAATTTTATTTCGATACCATTAAAACTTTGGCCATTGCTGAGTGTTTTGCAATATTACACGTTGGTTCTTCAATAATTTAAAGATTTAACGGTAATTTTAATGCTGAATGAGCCGTTTGGCATCCTTCTAACAATATGGCTGCTATTCCCGAAGTAGCAACTGCAACAGCTATGTTGGATCTCGCCCGAACAGTTGCTAAAGCTAATGACATGAGGAATGTCTTGTCAGTACCACCAGGGGCATCTAGGAAATATAAACCACCATTTTCTTCATCGATTGCCTTCATTAAAGTATTATAAACTTTCTTCTGTTGGGAATTCAACAGGGGTACATTCGCTTGAACTAATAAATTTAATTCCTGGTGATCATATTCACGTTCCCGTTCTAATTCTCGATTAAATGCCTCATTCATTTCACGATTTGGCGCTGGCATTTTAACCTGATTAATAAATTACCGCACATGAGGTAACACATATCTTCGATCAAGAGTAAAACCCGATTATGTACCTCATTCATCTCAATGTCGTGATTTCTGCCCAGTATCGCGACGTTTGAGCATAATATCTCGGTTTCCAAATTGTTCACAATCAGGATGGCGACTTCGTCTATTGTTGGAGCATTAACTGTCCTTTCATGTGTTCCAGATGGTCGTTTATCTGCTTTTATGACAACTTTATAGTCATCATTTGGCATGCGCTCTAAAGCACTCTTAAACAAACTGACCATCGCATGATGTTCATGAAGTAGACACTGCAAGTCTTGAAGAATTGCTCGCTTCATCCCTTCATTGATCGTTAGACGTCGATCAAGTTGTTCTTCCATGTTGCCCATGAAATATATTTGTAAAAAATTTTTTTGTGTATCTTCGAAAGGTAGTAATGATCCAATTCGATGGTGAATCTGCCCTTGCATTTATGATAAAGTAAGTTATTCTTTAACTAAATTCTATGTAATACCAAAAAAAAAACCTTAAATGTCGGATTAAACCTCGTTCTTCGATAAAATCTAACGTCATTTGGAAACAACCATTGTATTTTCGAGTATTTGCAGGAAAGTGGCGTGATTCTTGTGTTTCACCACAAAGCAGTGAATACAATGGCTCAGGTGGCGGAGTCAACAATGGCAATTTCACTTTACCATTAAAGCAGCATAATCCAGGCGTTTCTCCGTAAAACTTCAACGCACCGCAATACTTGCAAACAACGTCCATTTGCCCAATGCAAACGCTGGGATGTAAGCTGTAATCAGTGATGCAATCGTATTGAAACACTGCTCGATTCAAATCAGCAATTGATAAATATCTTTTGCGTCGCAAATTATCTATTTCTTGACCTCTGTTGTAAGCTCGACGATTCTGCATTGTCAACCGAGCCGTGTTACGGGTTGCCTCACTTTGTTCTTCTTATTGAGAAACACGAAGTCGACCCATACAAACGCGGCGTTGTTTACGTGCAATGTTTTGTTCCCCTTCAGTCCTTTCATTTACAGTATTTTGTAGTCTTCTTGAATTACGGCTTTGTTGGGAAAGATTCGATCGTCTTGGTTGCGGCATTATTAATTAAACTTCACTTCACTTCAATTCACTAAAACCACGAAAAACTTCACTTCACTTCAATTCACCACAATCACAAATAACTTCAATTCACTTCAAAAAAATTGAGTTAAAATGCTATGGTAGTGTGGGCTTGTCAGTGTGATGAGGTAATAACTCAGTTTATATGCGATTTTTGGTATGTCGAACGGAATAAAAAGTACCCTAAGTCCTATTCCGGGCTCTAAGCTACCTTCCTACCAATTTTCAGCCAAATCTGTTCAGCCGTTCTTAAGTTATAAGTGGTGTAACTAACACAACTTGCTTTTATATATATAGATACAAATCTTGGATTATTTCTTCCTTTTTGGACATTTACTTGTGCTAACGTCGCTTCAATCAATGAGATCTATTATCTCAAAAGATTCTTTAGTGGCTTTGCCATTCAAAAAAAATTTGAATTCATTTCAGTCGGTTTTACCACTATCTACTCCTTTACATCTGGTTTGAGTCCGGGATATTTTCCCATTATTCGTCCTTTACTAAAAACGGGAAAAAGGAATTCCCTATCTATAGCAATAGTGTTCTAGCGAAGTTTGAAACCTCGCAGTCTTTTTTACTCTTATTTGTACGACAAAAGGCATCTTTATATTCAGTTTTCACCAACAGATGGATACTGCAAACGTAAAATTTGATAAAATAGATGGCGCCTCAAGCGGGTTGGAGTCCTTGTCCATCAAATGTGTTGGGCAGATTGATAGATGGGTCAGAATATCCTTAACTTAATTACCGGATGCAAAATTTTTAAAGGTATTAAAATATACAGCTTGCATATAACACGACCATCATGAACAAATCTGTCGTCCCGGAATTACAGTTGTGAATTGGTGTATTTAAAAATAAGAAACACGAGAGTCCGTGCAGTATACTTTTAAAAGTGATTACTGAACTTTATTATTTGCAGGATAGTAAAATACTCCTTTACATACCAACTTGCGCTCAGCGCCCTCCTCATAGCAGAAAATTGGCCATCTGGCTTGAGTTGTTGATAACAGAACCGAAGCAACTATCAAAGAAAAAGTCCTCATCGTGAATGTTTTTAAAAGGTATAAGACAAAATTGTTTGCGAAAACATGACCTATATAGAAGACAGCGTTGCTAAATACAATTTCACAATAAATTAACCAAGACCGAACTTTTTATTGTTTCCTTATCTCGAGTTACACAACACGGGTGTCAAATTTAAACCTTAGAATTTATCACAAATGCAATGTGCGAAGTTTAGAACTATTTAAAATTCTACTTAAATTGTGGGCTGTGGAAAATCTTTTGTTTTTGTCAACCATCGAAGACTATACTTATCATACCTTTTTGGCTAAGTTGGTCAATTTAAAAAGCCGAGTTAGACATCAAAAGTTCTGTTGCAAAGCAATCAACTTATTCAACTGCAACCAAAAAAGGCAGAAAAACTCTGCCCATAGAGATAGAAGTCACAATTTGCGCCGTCAGCAAAAACGACTATGATCTTAGCCATAAGGCCGGGAAGCGATAATTCTTCCAAACTCAAGGCAGAGGGCTTCATAAAGGCCGAGCTAGAACCAGTTGTTAACCAGAATTGGTGTATTTAAAAGTAAGAAACACGAGAGACCGGGCAGTATACTTTTAGGAGTGATACCTGAATTTTATTATTTGCATTTTTAATCACTATGCAAACTCTGGGTTACCATCACTTGTTAACAAGGCCAGCCTTCCCTTGATACGCATTCCCCCCTAGAATTTACATCACAGTATTGAAAAGCGCAGTTAATGCCGGCTTGAGCTGTTGATATGAAAGCCAAAGCAACTATCAGAGAAAAAGTCCTCATCGTGAATGTTTTTAAAATGTTTATGACAAAATCATAAGCGGCAACGTGATTTATAAAGAAAACAGCGTTGCTAAATACAATTTCACAATAAATTAACCAAGACCGAACTTTTTATTATATCGTTATCTCGAGTTACACAACAAGGGTGTCAAATTTAAACCCTAAAATTTGATCACAAATGCAATCCGCGAAGATTAGAGTTATGCAACTTTAAAAATTCTACTTAAATCGTGGGCTATGGAAAAGCAATTTTATTTGCCAACCATCGAAAACTATACTTATCATATTTTTTCAGGTCTTTTTAGAAATTTTCCAAATCACTTGACATCGACGAAATGCAAAACAACTTTCGACAGACTGCCGCCAAAAAAGGCAGCTTAACTCTGCCCAAAGAGATAGAAGTCACAAATTGCAGCGCCAACAAAAACTGCGACGTCAAGCGTTCTTCGAGTTAGCATGTCACATAATGAAATTTATCAATCAGTTAGGCCGAAATCCCGGCGGTACTGCAATACCGGGCCAACCCGCGACAGAGGTGGAGCAAGCCCCTAGCACTCCGTCTGGTTCCAAAAATCAGTTTAACATTTGTTGTCCTCCAATGGAGGAACTATCAGATGTTAAGCTGATAAGAACAGATACTACACTTTGATCTTAGCCATAAGGCCGAGAAGCGATAACCCTTCAAACCAAAGAAAGAGGCCTTCATAAAGGCCGAGCTAGAACCAGTTGGGAATTGGTGTATTTAAAAATAACACGAGAGTCCGGGAAGTATACCTTAAGGGATGATTTCTGAAGTTTATTATTTACAGTTTCAATCGCTAGGTAAAGTCTTGGTTGACCATCCTATGTTAACAAGGAATGCCATCGGAATTTACGCAAATTCCCCCTGTGGAAAACAGCCCACGTTAAACCGGCAGTCAATGGCTTGAGTTGTAGATAAGAAAGCCAAAGCAACAAGCAGAGAAAAAGTCCTCATCGTGAATGTTTTTAAAATGTTTATGACAAAATTGTAAGCGGCAACGTGATTTATAAAGAAAACAGCGTTGCTAAATACAATTTCACAATAAATTAAACAAGACCGAACTTTTTATTATATCGTTACCTCGAGTTACACAACATGGGTGTCGAATTTAAGCACTAGAATTCCCTTCGGATCTTTGTTGTACCCTATTCAGGCTAACTGTAATAGCTACTACCTTTCAACTTATTTTCATCAGTCGACCCTATAATTCCCAAACAGTTCTGTCTTATAATAAAGCAATAGGCAGAATGCGAGATGGTTCAACTCACTCTGGTTTCTCTTCAATTGTCGAATAAATCTTTCGCCTTTTACTAAAGATTTCCGTGGAGAGGGACACTCTAACGAGTCTAAAGTAATTTTTACTAAGATCCCGGCGACTTATGTTACTGGGCCAATGAAATATTTATATAAAAATTGGATCGAGTGAAAACATAATGTTGGGCACTGGTGCTTGGACCAGCCCGAACTTTTACGTTTGAACGGGAAATTTTAAATTCAATTCAATTTAAAAGACAATTATAAAAGTTTGGAAGTACTTTTCAATCTAAAAAAAATTTTCGAATTTATGGATTCTGGTGGTCCCGCCTTGGGTCACCTTTCTGCATTCGTTTTGAATCTTGGAAAAAACTGACAGGGGTCGAAAATTCCACCACTTCTGAAAAAAGAATTAAATGCAGTTTGTTAAAAGGTATGCTTTTTTGAAACTTAACAAACATTTTTGAAGCTATGGGTTCTGGAGTTCCCGCTTTCGATCATAACTGCAATTTATCCGAAACTTAAATAAATGTGACATAAACAAGCAGGGCTAAAAAATCTACCCTCAACAATTGAATGCAGCTTGATCAAAAATGCAATCCGCAACGTTTAGAGCTATGCTATTTTTAAATTCTACTTCAATTGGACTCTGGAAAAGCAGTTTTTGTTGCCAACCATCGAAAACTATACTTATAATATTTTTTCAGCTAGGTTGGTCTGCTGCAGAGGAATCAATCCATTCAATTTTCCAAATCACTTGGCAACGACGAGATGCAAGACAATTTTTGATAGACTGCAACCAAAAAAGGCAGCGTATACCCACCCAATGAGATAGAAGTCGTTGTAAGCTCAATGGCACAATTTGCAGCGTCAGCAGAAACTACGACGACAGACGTTCTTCGCATTAGCATGTCACATAGTGAAATTTATCAGTCAGTTAGACCAAATTTGAACATTAAACATTTTTTTTTTTGCTGAATTTCGATAACGTAACCCCTTATTTTTTAATAAATCCATGTTTCGCTTAACGGAGGGATTTAAAAAGAAGTGTATTTAAAATTAAGAAACACGAGAGTCCGGGCAGTATACTTTTAGTAGTGATTTCAGAACTTTATTATTTGCAGTTAAAATCACTATGTCAACTCTGGGTTAAACTTCACCCGTAACAACTGAAGCCATTCAATCTTACGCAACGCCCGTGTTTTTCAATACAACCGTGATATCCGCAGTCAAGTGCAGCTTGAGTTGTTGATAAGAAAACTAAAGCAAGTATCAGAGAAAAGGTCCTCATCGTGAATGTTTTTAAAATGTTTATAACAAAATTGTTAGCGGCAACGCGATTTATAAAGAAAACAGCGTTGCTAAATACAATTTTACAATAAATTAACCAAGACCAATCTTGTTATTGTATTCTTATCTCCAGCTACGCAACATGGATGTCGAATTTAAACCCAAGACTTCCCTTCGGATCTTAGAGGTACCCTATTCAGGTAGCTAACCGTAATAGCTACCACCTTTCAACTTATTTTCATCAGCCGCTTCTATAATTCCCAAACAGTTCTGGCTTATAATAAAGCAATAGGCATAGAGCTCGATGGATGAAATCACTCTGGTTTCTCTTCAATTGTCGAATAAATCTTTCGCCTTTTACTAAAGATTTCCGTGGAGAGGGACACTCTAATGAGTCAAAACTAATTTTTTGTAGGCCTGTCGGCGCTTAAGCTGCCGGGCCGATCGAGAATACATTTGAGATATAGGTTTTGTAAGGTATAGGTATCCATAACTGGAGCGCTTGTTCTCGTGCGGAGAAAGTAAGAGCGCCAAAAAAACTCCATAAAAAATAACACCTTTTTGGCATTATGAAATTAAGGTTATGTTTTTTTAAGATAACTAAATCCTTCAAAGAAAATCCTCGAATAAAAGATATAAAAAACGCACCTTCCTTTCTGCCATACCCATAAATTTTAATTGAATTATTTTATATCCTGCATGGGTTTTCCCAGGGCTCAATCTCATGGCCTCCGCTTTATTCGACGGCATCTTCATCAATGTGGGATTGTTTTGCATAAATAACGCATAAATTGAGGCGATCCAAGAAAAGGCCAACAATCCAAATCAGTTCTACATGTTCGGCATTGACAAAAAGTAGGCTAAGCGTAAAAAATGAAATATGTTCGGGGTCAGGGTTCGCTTCGGAATTACATTTGCCAAGTTCATAAAAAGGAATGGAATCCAGCCGTCAGTCTCTAGAGTTAAGGCGACGTTACGCATCGGAAAATCTCAACTCAGAGGAGGGACACTTATTATTTGGGCGTCTAAATTGGCTTAATGCCGAAAGGAAAAACCAAAGAGGCTCGGCTGAAGTTTTTCGAAAGCCAAAACTAACCAAGTAGTAAATTTACATGGAAGTTAAAGGTTTCCGTTTATCTGGTTTTCTCCACCCCGTCGAACTTGAACTATAAAAACACAAAAATCTAGCCGGAGGAAAAAAGTTTCCAGTCACATAAACATAAATTGCGACAGTAATTTTCGGTCAGGAACGTTTGGGAAATTTTCCGGCTTTCACACAGGCATTTGTATGCACAGGATGGTTATGTAATTTAGCTGGAGTAGGCTAAATGGGAGTTAACATTAAGTTTAATTTGTCTAATGTCCATGAACCCTTTTTCCGGGATCCAAAGAGCTCAAATTAATGGCTCAAGCAAAATAGTTTTACACAATGATTTGCCATTTATTTGGGTTTCCTTTCCTCTTTCTCCCGAACCACCAACTTAATGTAGTCCCAAGTACCTTAGTTATATGGTCATTTAATGATTATGACTCATCAGGATTTGGTTCTAGTGGCGTTTCATTAACACATTTTAAGTTCATCGTTAAAATTCAGTGATGAGCTTAACTCGTCCTTCCTAGTTCAAGGTGATGGTAACACTTAGGTGGTATTTTAATGTATTATTAAATGGCCCTCTCGGGCTCCCAAAAATTGCCGTAGTGGACGGTATTTCACGTCCCCATGGCGGGGTATTGGTTAAAGTTTTCAACTAGCAATAATCGCACCTCAGTAGGACTTCATTGGTTACGATATCGCCTCTGCGCAAAGATAACTTTCAACCCCGATTCAATCCCTATTCGATTCCAGATGCGCTAAAACAAGTTGGGAATTACAAGAGCAAAGGGTGTGGCACGATAGGTGCCGTGTTGCATACTTTTCAAGGACGTTTTACCTGAATAGTAGCTGTTACCTACTGTTTTGAAATTAAACGTAATGAAACTTAGGGGTGTCTTTTTAAACATATGGATCCTTTTTATACGGTTTATAAGGATATACGGTATATTAAGATTTGCTGGAAAAAAGTATCTTATTTTTATAGCGTTTCATGTTTTAAATATGTTTCTTATCTATACCTCACATAAAATTAAATCCCATCATCTACAATCATTGCAGAATTTCGTTCATTTAAATTTCCATTTGTTCTTGTATTTGGCACCCCACTCGAATTACAATTAATGAAAAATTCAGAGGTCCCGGGCCGCAAGGAATCAGAGAGGAGTTCGCCGAGTGGGGGGCACAAGGTTCCTTGAGGTCATGTTCGCCTACTCTAAAATGCTAAATAGCCACTTTTGCGGCCAGGCACGACAAACTTTTTTTTCTTTGCGACTTTCCATCGTTCTTCGCTCCTCCACGGCTTTGTCATAAAAAATTGAACAAGTTTTCCGAGGGAAAGCCAAGTGGGTTGGGTGCGGGGGAGGTGGGAGGAGTGGCAGAGACAGCGACGACAATACCGGAAATCCGTTTCATGACAAATGCGTCACATTGTCCTGGCGTCCTGGCTGAGTGTTAAGAGCGAGGAGCCCCGCTTTTCTTTTTCCGGCTGCTCTCCTTTACGACCAAGCCGGCAGTGAAATTCCTTCAATGGCAGCACGTGACTTGGCCCAAAAGAGAGCCAGCAAATGGCCAAAAGAGAACACGAACTTGACATTGGAGAGCGAGCATAACAAAGCGAAGGCGCAAGCGCCGCTCTCGCAGGACTCAAAGGACTCGCAGCATTTCCATCTACGTGCCGGCATAACTTTGGCAGTTTAATGAGAAATCCATATTTATGTTGTTTGTTTTGCCAAAAAAAAAAAAAATGGCCAAAAAAGGCATGTTCGAAGCGGGCAGCATATGCGGCGAAAAGTGAAATTACTTTCGTGGGTGGTTGTGCAAAGGCATTTCTGTAATCATTTCTAATGGGCCGCGGCGTCTGCGGGTATTCTATATCGTACAGCACGGCATATGGCCGCTATTTCCGTGAGTATCTCAGCCTGTTCAGATAAACGGACGTAAGGCAATAACAGAAAAGTGATAATGGCGTTTTGGCGGTAAAGGATGGCAGTTCAGAAGTATAGATATTGCTTAACAGAACTTCTAAAACCAAAATACTTTTAATTTTTAAATAGGTACTCATGTCTTGCAGCATCTTTTCAGTTTGCTAAATATTTGATGTTTAATCTAATAAGTTATTGTATGTATGATAACCTTGATTTTATTATAAAAGTTATATGAAGCTTAAAGTAGTATAGGTCTTGTTAAACAGGACTCCCAAAAACCTAAATACTTTTAATTTTTTTGTTAAGTACTTAAAAGTTTTAGATAGAATGTCTTACAGCATCTTTTAAGTTTGCAAAATATTTCATGTTTAATCTCATAAGTTATGCTATGTACAAAACAGTGCTGAAAATATTCTAGGTTTTGATAATTTTATGATGTATTTGATTTTATAATTATATTTGTACAACGGTTTCCTTATATGTATATAAAGTTAGCATTTTTATTTTACCCACAAATCAACAAAAAAATTATATATACCTCGTTTTTGTGATGCTTATTTCCTGAATAAGATCCAAGCATCCATCCATAAGATCCCGGATGGCCAGACATTTTAACTAAACCACGTTCGCGACTTGTCACAATGGAGTCATAACGTTATCATTCCAACGCGAAAGCCATAAAAATAGCGGCTTAAATAGCAACAGCCAGCACGTCTAGCATGAAAGAGGGATGCAATTCCCCGGGAAAAGTCCACTTCACACATTTTGCTCTGTCGCTTTTTTTTCACCCGGCTTTAATACTAGAAGAGCAACTCTAGCGAAACGAAAAAAAAATCGTTATGTTTTTATTGTGCAAATAAAAGCACGCGGAAACTACTTAATCAAGTTTCAGAGACGGAGTTTCCCCTTCCCTTTCGTCCTTGTATGTCCATCTCGCTTTAACGCAGGACCAAAGGAATCCGGAAGCCACGTTCTCCACGAAGGAAAAACCAAACAAAACAAAAGCAACCGAGGAATAAAAAGCAACAGCAGCCAGTTCAGCACAGACTTTTCCGACGTTGTTTTTAGCGATTCCGCTTCTGGGTGACAAGGGAGAAAGTGCGGGGAAAGTCGGGGAAAGTGGTCGCGAGAAGAGCCAAAGCTGAGACAACATGCAAACCAAAACAAATGGGAGTTGAGAAATAACACTTTTTTATTGTGTCGAATAATATGATGCTCTTTAAAAAATAAATGTACAAAATGCAGAAATAGGAATTTTTGTTACTTTAAAACTTGACTTGTTTATCTCTCACATTATCTCTAAATCTATTTCAATTTTAAATTAAATTTTGTTCAGATAAAACCTTTAAAATAAAACATTTGAGTGAGCAAAGAAGTAAAAGGTATTTTTAATTCCTTCAAGACCCCTTTTCATTAGGTTATTTCTTGTTCTAATTGCTCAATCTAGGCGACACCCTTCCACAACCCTTTGGTAATAGCGCATCTACCCCCTTAAACACCCATTTCCCCCCGAAAGAGTGCTACAATTTGGCGAAAGAATGTTTCCCAGCGAGTTGAGTTCAAAATTTATGACAGCAATTAGCGGGACAGTAGGCGTGTCCTGGGGGTTGCTCCCAGGTTACCATTGCCAGCACTTCATTCCCCAAAAAGAACGGAAAACACGAACGCCCTTCAATTAATTTGTTGAGCTCTTCGCAAACAGCAAAACGACGTGGCACATCAATCAAGTCGAGGAGCAAGTCAAACGTAAGGTCTCCATTCGGACTTGGTGTCCTGGAATCTTGGGTGTGAAAAATCGACAAGATGGATAAAACTAGGACCGCCCACAACTTTGGTCGCGTGCCAGACTCCTCGGCTCGTAAATTGTTCGTTTCATTTTTAATTATCGCACTTAAGTTGTATTTTTTAATGCCCGCCAGCAGGCGATTTGGCTTAAATGCTAAGGAAATCGCCGGAGCAGAAGGAACTTGGAGCTTGGCTCACCTGAATCGTTTCCGTGGCGGAATACTTTCGATTGTAGTCGACGTGATGGAGGTTCGGCATGTTTGCTCACAGCTCACAGCTCACTGATAATGACTTTGGATAGGGCTACTTAACACGTGTCCTTCGGCTGGTGGGTGGTGGGTGGTTCTTCCGGTTCCCATTCCTTTCCGTGCTCATCAAGATAGGCCAGTTTATGAGGCATTTGTGTTAATTTCTGTTGTCGTTCCACTTTTTCGCCCTTTTTTTCCGTGGGTTTCCTGCAAACGGGAGAAGGAGACAGCAAAGTTTGTAAAGTTCAAGTTGGGAAAAGTGTAAATTACTTTGAGCAATCTAAAGACTTCTTCATTTCCCCCGTTCCCCGTTTCCCGTTTCCCCTTCGGTTTCGATCCCCCTTGGGCATTTGTTTACTCATGTCGATATTGTTAATACGCCA